AAAAAAAAAAACCCAAAGCAAAAAACAATCTCTGATAGAGATAGACATTTTAATTTAAGATAAAATTTCTACAGCTTTCAGAACTATTTTTACCAATTAGGTTAACTTATAAAATAGTGGGTTTTTTTAATTTAAATATTATTTTCTTATTTGTATATCATAATAAATCATAATATTTTTCATCTTTGTACACAAAATTGGTCGTGACTTGTTTTTTCTTTTTTAGTTTTGTTATATATTTAGAAAGTTTTGATAGTCCATCTTAATCCATTATAATAGTTTTTTATTTGTATTCAAAACATTTTTAATATGTCTTATAAAACATCGAGGTTCTTAATTTTAAAATTTTAACATGTTTTAGAGATTAGGTAGTTATGGTTTAATTTTTGTAATTTTTTTTTCTAATTATAATTCTTTTAGTATAAGTAAGTAAATAAATACCTGTACTTAAAATATTACTATAATAACAAAGTAAGTGATGAAAATCCAGCTTTTATTTATTTATTTTTCTTTTTCATCTTAGAAGATCTTTCTAGATAGAGAGTAATAACACCAAATTTATTTCCAAACTTAGGGTGACCCAATCTGAGTAATAAAAACCCAATATTCTTTTTCTTCTTTTCCTTTTTAGTAATGTGATCTTTTTCTAAATGTTCATGCCTGCTCCCTTATTTTGCTCATCTCACCCACATGTAATCATCATATTATAATATGTGGTATATTTTTTTTAGTTCAACAACACATTAGTATAGGATTCGAACCTTCGATTTTTTCTTTTATCTGAGTTATCTTAAATAGTATTTTTTTAATACAACATGTAGGGATGACGAACTCACAATCGGAGATATATGTCAATTACCATTGAACTGATAAGTTAGTTTAAATAGTTGAATTAAGCTCAAATTAGCTGCTTGTGATATAATTATGTTATATATTGAGACACATGATAGAACTATAAATATTTGTGTTGAATCTACTTGGCATAGTTATACATTGAGTTAGGGCCATTTAGCTTGGAATGTGGGTTGAGTTCAATTCCGCACACATTGTCGTTGGGTCTGAGTATAGGCCCAAATTCAAGTCCATTTCTATCCTCTCAATAGCACGTTGGGTGGGAATTCGAGTTTTCATTTTTTTATTGATGACATATATCTTAATCAGTTAATCTATATTCGGGCAATCTTCAATACTCCATAACATAAGAAAGTCGTAGAGTGTATAAGCCTTGTTAGAGATAGGAGCGATTGAGAAATTTCTTCCTTACAGAATCGGGGAAAGACCAAACTTGGCAATAGATTCAAGGGGAAGCAAACTCACTTATGGATCAGAGTGTGGTTAATCTGCATATTCCAGAGGAAGTCCGAACTTGATGCAAATGGCATAAAATTCTTTCGCTTCAGCAACTGAGTGAGAAGTAAAGGACTTTTGAATCGAATGTGCTCGTTTTCGAGAGGGATAAAATCAACTCCGCAAATATCGATTGAAACTTGAGTTAGAATCTAAACGATTTTTTTTTTATGTATGGCCTCAGCAGAATCTATCTATTTCCATAACACATATAATATGTTACCTCTTGAGACTGAGATCTCTTTTGCCACTGGTACAATCACTTCTCAGGTGATTCATGATATTATTTTTAATATTTTTTAATTAAGACCATGTTATGGATTCGAAATTGGAGAATGTAAGGGAAATTAAAATGATAATTTTTCATGATAGTGGAGACAGCAAGGATACCTTTTAGTACTACAAGTTAGAGAGAGAATTCATAGGCATCCCAAATGCCATAAGAACCAAAAACCAGGATGAGTGCTAAAATCTTGAGTTAAACTAATGATCATATATGTTCCAAAATTATGCTTCAAGATTACAATTTGCAACTCTTGAAACTCACCAAACAAACAAAAGAACACCCCCAATTTGAATCCCAAATTCTTGGGCCAAAGGGATTCATATTCATGTTAACCGGAGAAATAATTTGGGGTTTGGCTATCGAGAATTATAGCTCAATGGGGTGTGGCTATTTCCCCCTTTTCTTGCATCTAAAATCAGCTGCTGCTTGAACATAACAATAAATGCTTCCACTCTCTCGTTCAACTCCTCCTTTGACAACCCAACATCTGCATCCTCCTCCTCCTCTTCTTCTTCTTCTTCTTCAATTTCTTCTTCTTCAATTTCCTCTTCTTTATCCATTTCTTGGGGTTTGGCCTCAACTTTTTCTACTTTTTCTTCAGCCACTTTGCATTCTCTGTCTTTGATCTTCTTCTGCTTTTTTCCAACACTTGGGTCTTGGCTTTCCCTGTAATTGGAGGGACTGGACGTGAAGAAAATTGCTACAACAATGAGATTCAGGACCAAAAAAACCCAGACCCGCCATTGCTCTACCAAGAACAGAACCACAGCTCGTTTCAAACAAGCTGCCATTAACAATGCTGTTCCTGCTGATAACAAAACTGTGCCCATGGAATCCTTATCTTCAACCTCTCCTTGCTTCGTTTCCCTGTAGTTTTCCTCTGCCTTCCACATGTTTGATGAATTTTCTCACTGAAGAAGAAAATCAGGTTTGTTGGGTGTGAACTCTGAACTCCTCCTCTGCTTATGTGGGTTTTATTTAGATTTGAATTGTGTGGTGGGCCAACGATTTAAGCAGGCTTTAATGATACCAAGGGGACAGTAGAAGCAGGAGGTGCAGCTGCTGGGGAAGACAAGAAGACAGAGATGCCAAAGCCTGCAATTTTTTCACTGACACTGCCTTTTCTCTTTTATGATTGCTCCAACTTAGGATAGAAGTTGTGGTTTTGTGGTGGTGGTGGTGGGAGTAGATTTTTCATGTTGGGGCCTGGCGTGCGAATTCCTTGTCTTTCTAGGATGGCTAATTGACATGTTTTAACTTTTATAACACTTTAGCTTTGTTGGGAATAGGAGAGAGTGAACTGGTTTTTTTTTTCTTTTGTTTTTTTTTTTTTTTACTTTTGGGTCTAAATTAATGTATAGTTTAAACTTTCTTTTATGTCTATGAACTTCATTTTGTCTTGTTTTAGATTTTATAGCTTTGAATGTTCATTTTTGGTATCGAATTTGTGCATCGCTTAAGAAGGTAGCAGGAGAATAGGAGTCCTAGGAAGTTTGGAAAATTAATCATCTTCTAGATAAAACAATCTAACTAATTTTTGATGAATCAAATTACTCTTAAAGAAAATATAAGATAGAGATAGAAAAACTCAACAGTATAGTTTATACTAGTTCACTCCAAACTTAGAATACGTTCAGTCTTGTACGACTACAAGTTCTACTATGATATGAAGGTCACAATGGATCTCTCTCTCACTTTACAAGGCTCTCAGATACCGCATTGAAAGTTAAAAAGATTGGGTCTAATATTCTAAAATGTATTATGGATCTTTCTGTGTCATGCCTGGTTAAATTTAGCACGTAGTCAAAATTAAATATATTTAGAGTAGGAAGCAGGAAGGTGAAAATGATTAGAATAGGATTTATTGGTTTAGATAGCTTTTTGTTAATGTAATTGTAATTAATGCTTTATTATTTTATTAGTTGTCATTCTTACATCACAAGGAATTGAGTTGTTTGGTTTTAGTGAAAAATGTAAAATAACACTCTTTACCATTTGATGCACAGCACATGCACTTGTGTTTTCCACCTTTTCCGGAAACATGCATCATTGCTTCATGAAAATGTTTTTGTTTTCCAAAGATTATTTGAGAATAAGATATTTAATAATAGGATAACCTGAGAACTTTGTAATTAGTTTTATATTGAAAAATGCTACTTGATTTTTCTGTAATCAGTCTTTTACTACAGTAAAGAAATTAATCCATTTCAATGAACAAATTTACCCTAGATTTTATTTTATTGATTATTTATAATTATTTAATTGTAAGTTAATGATAAATTTTAATCAAAAAATAAAGTTGAGTATGATCAATTATGAGGAAATAATGTTAAAAAATTAATTATTTAGTTGTATTTAATGTGTGGACAGACAACTGACAATAAGTAATAGTTCAGAAAGAATTATTCATGAATCAATCCCTAAGCCATGACATTATATGGGTATTATCAGAATAAATAAAACTATTTAACCAAAAATATGAGATCAAAGAAATCAAGAAAATCTATCGCATCAAGTTGTTGAAAAGTGTTCTTACAAACAATTATTTTACTCATTTTTTCTTTTAAATACAAAACACATTAGAAGTTTATATAAGAATAACTTAATTCGTCAAAGCAAGCATAAATTAGCAGTACTTACATATACATCCAATTAAGAGGTTGCGAGTTCAATCTCCTACTCTTTATATGTTGTACTCAAAAAACAAAACAAAAAAATAGTAACTTTCTAAATATTTGTAGGTTAAAATCTCGTTTTGATCTCTAAGCTTTCTAAATATCTATTGTAGTTCCTAAAATTTAAGATTTATTCTATTTAGGTCCCTAAACCATTAAATTATCTATTTTAGTCCTTAAACTTTAAAAAAAGTAATCATTTTGGTACTAGATTTTATTCTGATATTAACAAATTAATAACATGTTTTCTTAATTTTACCAGGATAATCTAACAAGGACCAAATGGTTATCTTTTGAAAGTTCAGAAATAGACATTAAGATAATTCATGAACCAAAGTGGTTATTTGTTTGAAGTTCAAAAACTGAAATTGAAATAGACGTTTCAAAAGTTTCGGGGATCAAAATGAAAAAAAAGCTGAAAGGGACCAAAATAAAATTTAAACCAAATTTGCACATGGGAGTGTTGAATGTTAAAATGACAACTATATGGGCTCATGACAGAACAAGAACAAGATTCTGACACCAGTTTTCCTCCTGCAGGTTTTTCACAAACATAGAGGTACCGATCAATATTTCAAACCATAGAATTCAGACAAGTTATTTGAGCGGTAAATAAAAATTTAACCTCTCTCTCAGTCAGTAACAGTACCAACATTTCTAATTCAAAGAAAGAAAAAGATAACATCCCTTGTATCAATAGAATGTTAAATCTCAACCGAATCTTGTAAGAAGGAAATAAGGGAGTGAAAAAGAAAAACTATACAAAGGATCCAATGTGTATGGGAAAGTGAAAAATCACCTGCAAAAGATCTCACTTCCTTCTTTTGGGTAATAAAAAGTCTCACCTTTCACCAGTGGTAAAAACAGTGTTATGTCAATGCTAAGTTGAGATAATGATAGAAGAGAACAGCAATTCAGAAAGGTAGAAATCAAAACTCAGAAGGATGCTTGCTTCAAAACCATGTTATTGTTACAGTACATAGATCATCACAAAATGACCCTACATGTCTCATTTCACAACATCAGCACATTGAAGCTGAAAATCACTCCTAGTTTTTCTTTTTCTCTTCCTATAAATTAAATGAAATATTAGAAAGCAAAAACTATTTGATAAAGACACAAGTAAAACTGCACAAAATAATTTCACTTCACTCTCTCACTAAATGAAGCTAAACACCAACCTGTGGATTCTTTGGAAAAGTAAAAACATATCCTGGGAGGGCCGACGTGCTTGATGGCAAATCATATCCAGGTTCTGATTGTGTTGAAGGGCGAAAATAAATCACCATGATCACGACCATCTTTTTCCAGACAAAGATACTAGCTGCAGGAAAAAGGTAAAAAGTTCAGAAGATTGGACTAAAGCCGTGATGGTTTTAACCAACCAAATGATGTGAAGCTCATCAAGTGCCTAGCTACACAACTGTTCTGAAGCTCATGGAAATTGCTAGCAACGTATTCAACATCAGAGTCCTACTAAAATTATAGTAGAAAAAGAAATTCTCCAAACAAGTTACTTCAAATCTCCGCATTGAGGTTTTCTACTTGAATGTTAAAAACTTAGAACTCTCGGGGGGCATTTAAGGTAAGCTAAGGGTGTGGGATTCATTGTTTTGATTTCTGTAGTCGAATCTATATTTAGTCTATAGGTTTATTTACTCCAACCTCCTAGTTTGTTAGTCCTACAAATTGAGTAAATTCCAAACTCAGCATCTAAGTATAGGTTATACACATGTAATCTGCTATTAACTATACATACCCAAACTTACCAACCGCCCTTTAAGAACAGTTTAGAATCACGTGATTGCTTTTCCCATCCGGTTTGAACTTCAAAAATTAACGACTGAATGATTAATACTGCTCAACCAAAAAGCTGAGTTGGGCTAATGTCAGAAGCAAATATCGAACACAATTAATGCATCAGTCCTGGATTCCTGACTATTTCCTTCTTAAAAAAAATCACCATGTAACAACATCCGGATTCTGCAGGCTAAAACAACTACAGGTTTTATTTTCAATTCTATATGAATCAAAGCATCGCATTTGAGTTCATCTTCATTACAAGTATGATAGTGCTAAGGAGGGAAATGTTTAACAAACCTGACGAGCAACTTGAGACAACTGTCGCCTCTCACTTGATGATTCTCTGGTCAAGTTAGACCTCTTGAGCTCTGGTTCACATTTTAGTTTCTCACGCAACCTCCTTTTTCCCTTGCTCTTTCCAGGAGAAATATTTTCATCAGAAATGCTCATGGCTTCCCTCTTGCGTTTGCTTTGTATGGTACATTTGAGAGACATTTTCTCGTCTACTAGGCAAGGAGAGCAATTTGTAACTTCACATATTTGCTCATATTTTGTATTAGTGTTCATTTCAGAGTTCAATTCAGAACTTGGAAAGATCAAATTTCTTATTTCACCACTTTCTTGTTTCACTGACAATGCCATCATTTCTCTCTTACTGTTTGCTGAATTCTGGAAAATTCTGGATCTATTGACCTTAGTACTGGCAGTAACACTAGTAGACACTGATGTAGGATCAACATAACTTCTAGTTGATGTCAGTCCTGGATCCAAGCAGGTTAATTGCTTCATCTTGCGTTGATGCTTAGTAACGTTGGAATGACCTTCACCAGATCTCCCACTATCGTTGTCTAGATTAATGGAAGCATTACATGGAGAAAGGACAAAAGACTTATCACAAGGCTTGATTGACTGATCAGGTGAGTGACCATTTAAATTCCCTCCTTTCATGTTCCCTTTTAGTTGTCCTCCATAAGAATTTCCATTCACATCTTTGTAACTGTCAACATTATACTCCTCCGACAAACAAGAATTTTGGGTTACATTCCCACTATCAGCCATCAGAGAGGGTGGAGTATATCCATTTTTACCAGATCTCACATTACCATCTTTCAAATATGGCTTGCAAAGGGAAACGACGCATGATGGATGATGAGGTTTCATGAATTGACTACCATGTAACCTGCAAGAGTCTGTTTTACATTTTTCAAATTGGGACGCCCTTCTTAACGTATGAAGCTTTACAGACCTCTTTAACACTGCACCATGCACATTCTTCCCTGTATCTGTCTTTCCAGTTATAGTAGGTTCATTTTCTTCAAGGACTTGCCTACGTTGTACATCAATACCGAGAGGTAATCTATAATCCAGGAAATTTCTTCTTGATGAACGAGTTCTCTGGGTGCATCTCTTACTACATAATTCACGCTCCTTGGTCCTCGCTTCTGTGGAGGTAGAGTCAGAATCATGAGAATAGACAATGTCCTCTGGAGAAACAGGTGACCGTTTGCCAGACTTTGGCACACTATCATCTGTTGCATGGGCTATCTGTTTGATCTTTGTGTTCCTCAAATTAGAAGACACTGTTTGCATTTCTGATGAGGATGGACTAGATGTATCTGGCTCAAGGGTAGACTTACTGGAGAGAGTAATCTTATTCATAATCTTCCCTTTGAAAGGCTGCATTTTGTCTTTCTTCTCCTTCTCCAAATCGTATAGGGCTTCTTTCAACTGTATTCTAAGATCTGTTATTACATCCTCTGCCTCATGAAGTTGGGCTTCAAGTTCTTCAACTTTTCTCCTCTGGCATAATGATGCTACTTCTGATTCATGCATCTGCAAAGGAGAATGTTATATCCATTGGGATGAAACAGGAAAGAACAGTTAGAAATGGCACCACTAAATCATATATGTGGAACTCTAGCCATTTGTAACCACATTAGAAAACCAGATTCGCACTGGGGAAAGATCCTTAAATCATAGATGTAGAACTCTAGCCATTTGTAAGAAACTATAATCCTGAAAACATGAAATTTCATGTCACCTTATGAAATGGGTTTGCTGGATGTAGTTAGATTAGTAATTCCAAAGGCATGAAATTTAATTATGAGAACGATAATGCAGAAGAATCCAATTCCGTTCTGCTTTTAGATGCCGTCAACTTTAACTATCTGATACCACTGATGGTTCTGGGGTAGTAGCTATAGGATGTGTGCAGTAGGATAATTAACAAATTCCAATGTAGCCATATTTTTTTAAATGAACTCACAAGCGACACATGAACACAGAAACCTTCATAACTGAAGAAAATGAAGTATAACAGTTCAAGGATATGATGAACAATCGCATAACAAGTAAACATCCCGACCCAATAAGGGGTTCAATAAAATATATATGTAGAAGAAACATCAGCAGAATTCATTCTTACTTCCGTCAGTTCGAAGTTGGATTCTAATGTGCTCTGGCTAATAAAGGTATTCCCCCCGAACAGTTCAGTCAGAAACTTATACATTTATAACAATGACATCTTAGTTTTTGGAAATTGTAAAGAGCATTGTCTCTCTACAATCAAAGTGGCCAAATAACCATTGTATAACATTTCCGAGAAATAAAGACGAAGAACAGCTCATTCCATGGTAGAATTTTACAGTACAACTACAATGTAGAAAAGCTAATTTTGCCATCAAGCCATCGGAAACAAACGACAATAGAATGAGCCCATCCATAAGAGGCACTGATAGAACTAACAAATGCATAGCAATTAACACAACCAACCACAACCAATTAATGAGTTTTGAGAATGAATGAGAAAGAAGAGGAAGAAAGTGAAGATAATGCTGAAAAAAGTACCTTAGAATCGATCATTTTCTTCAAGCGAAGGAGCATTTTAAGTGCCTCATCCTTGACAGAACAAAGTTCCTGCTGGAAACGAAGAGCTTTCCGCTCGGATACCATCACACGAGCCGCTGCCTCCTTCACCGTGTTAAGAATTATGTCAGCGTAAGCCTTTTGGAGCGCCACCATTTTCTGCAACACTCAAAGTGAATCAAATGACCAAAAATCCGATACTTTCAAGCACAAAACAAAAGGGATTCCAAGTTTCCAACACATCAAACATTCCCAAATCAGGAATCAGAAAAAAAAAAGTATGATCACATCAGAAGAGATGTGTAATTTCTGGGTAAGCAGATAGACAAAATGCTGTACTGAGAAGTACCTGGGCTTCGTCCTCCATGGCTGAATAAAACTTCGAGCTCAGATTATTAGCCAAATGGAGCAGAAGGAGAAGTGAAGATCAACCGAACTTCAACTTTGAATTCGAATCTCTTCGCATTACCACCAAATTTTGCCCTCTCTTTGAGGTTTGAATTTGCGAGATTTGTGTTTGTTTCTTCAGCAGGCGGGGGTGGCGGTTTGGGCGAATTTCGGCGGGCGAGCAGTTTCTGTTACGACAAAGGAGGGCTACAAAACGACGACGTACGAGGCGGTGGCTTCGTTCGAAACGGTGCCGTTGCGCCAGCATTCAGATCCCCGTTTTCAGAGGCGCGCATAAAAGAACTTTGTGGGACCCATGAGGAGAATAATGTGTGAAGTGTGAACGGTACTTTTGGCTTTTTTTAATTTTTAATTTTCATTATTATTATTTTTTTCCTTCTCTCTTTTTTTCTTTCAGAGCGCGGTTCCATAGCGCTCTCCTCCCGAATTTCAAATTTTGAAACGAGGCCGTTCGTTGTAGGTCCATATGATATATATAACATAATTTAATTTCAACGGGTAACCTTTTTTTTTTTTGTTTTCCTATTCTATTTCAATTGAAACTTCCATATTTTCTTTTGATATTTATACTTATAAATACATTTTTTTTATTCTTGCATCTAATAAAAATTAAATACAATAAATTTCTACAGAGTTACCATTTTCTTTTCGATTCCTGAATTTTAGTGCTTATTTTATTTTAGCCCTTATATTTTGAAAATTTTTGTTTTAGTTCCTGAATTGTATAAAAAATATGTATATATATATATATTAATTTTATATAAATCATTTAGTTAAAAATTTCCCAAATTAATTTAACATATATTTGTGCAAACGCCGTCATATTATCTGGTATTTCAGAATGTCCAGGAAAAATGGGCTCCTACCCTATGAAGGCCTAATCAGACCCTTTTTATCACCCATATTTTGACCATAAACCCATCTTTATATCTCCTCGCTGATCATAACATATTTATGAGAATTTACACCAGGTCTCTATTTGTCACCCCATCTCGAAAAATGGTCAAATATTCTCGATAATAAAAAAAATTTCATTTGTATTTTTCTAACTATTTTACAAGTCTGTTTTGACCCTTTCTATGTTTTGTTATTGTTTTTAAAATAAAAATATCTTAACTTCTATTATCTTCGAGATTGTATCTCTCTTTGCTTTTAGAAAACTATTATTGCTATAAATTTGCTTATATACGTTGAGACAGAATTCATCAAATTTAAGGAGACAACACACCAAGAGATGAACAGAGCGGAAACCAGGGAGACAGGTCTTGTTAGCCAATTTGACAAATTGACAGAATACATAATCAAGTGAGAGAACAACGATAGGGGTGACGCTAGTGATAGAGTTGGTTGCAAGTGTGGCGAAAAGGAAGGAGACCTATATGCTAAGCTTCTATGGATCGTGCATCTTTTTTGTACTTTATATTTTTATATTAATTATTCAAAAAAATATATCTTATTTGTTTATAAAACTGAAAGTTGTTTAGCCATCTTTTGAAATTACCTATTTTAAATGACTATATTTATTGTTATCCAAATATTTATCATTATTATCTCTTAAATCAAATTAATAGATTAGACACATATTACTATTTTAAAAGTGGATGATTTTTCATTTCCTTCTCTATAATTTTTTTTAACTCTTTAACCAAATAATACCATGGTTGATAAGAATCGTGGCCACATGGAAAAAACCTAACGAGAGTTAAAAAGTTTCGCTTTATTAATGGAGACTTTCAAGATCCTCACCCCTACATGTTGTACTAAAAAAATGGAGACTTTCACATCCTTTGGTGTATGATTATTTATAAGATTTAAAAGCTTTTCTCTTGGAAAGGAAAAAACTTCAAAATATAAGTCAATTTTTTAAAGGAAAAAAATAAAAAATGTATTACTATTTGAAATTTAGCAAGAACTCAAGTCTAATTTTTTAAAGAAAAATAAAAACCATATTAAATACAATACGAAAAATTAGGCCTAATTTTTGAAAATATAAAACAAGACGAAAACATGTTTTTCGCAAGTAATTAAGGGACAAGTCAAGCTTCGAAGGATGCCTTTTTCCCATGCATCTTCCAAAATCTCAAATTTCATGAGAACTATTTAATAAATTGTTAGAAATATTCTGAAATGAATTAAAATTAATTATAGTTGGAATGGTGAAATTGAATAGGGAGGTGTGACTAACTATACTATATAATGATGTCCTCGTTGACTAAGCTTGAGGAATACAGCCGTTGCCAATATCATATATCTTGACTTTAAAATAGGGCGAAAAAAGAGGCTCTTTTACTTTCCATTATGGATTAATTATGTGACATCATAAGCAATTAAGTATTTGATTTAAATCATACTTTAGAAATTTTAGGTTTACTTCTTTAAATTTTCAAATATTTTATTTCAGTTTATAAACTTTAGATAAAAATTATTTTAAACTTTTTATTATTAATTTTTTTAATAAAGTGTTTAACAAAAGCTGAGTAAGAGCATATTTTATGTTTATTTATTATCCAACAGGTCTTGAGCATTAAAATATTTAAAAATTCTAGAAACTAAAATAAGATATTTGAAATTTGAGAGACTAAATTAGAACCTTGAAGAATTAAATAAATTTAAAAATTTAATAATAAAATAGAATTTAAAAAAAATAAAATATGCTCTTTGATTGTGGGAACAAAGTCTCATATTGGTTGGGAGAAGAGAAGATTCGTGTATATATATATAAATAAAAGTGCAGGACGACTCTATTTATATTATAACTATTTGGGTGAAACAAAAAATAAAACCTTGAGGATTTATATCCAAAGTGGACAATATCATATTATTATAGAAATATGGAGAGTTTGTTGTACTTAACGTGTCTATTACTATTATTAATTTGTTTTTAAATGGTGTGAGTTAATTTTGAACTTAGATTATGTTAGAGATTATTAGATAATGTTACGTGAATTATTATTAGATTTAGATTAGGATATAGTTTAGAATTAAATTTCCTATTTGAATTATTATGATGGATTATATTGGTATAAATAGGTTAATGATTTGTATTTTAATCATTATTAGGAATTTTATTAATATAAATAGATTAATGATGTGTATTTGAACCCATTCCATTCAAGTTTGTTATTTTCTATATTTTCTTAATTCTTTCTTAGAAAACAAATTTAACTCATTTTTATAAAAGATAATTCTTTAATGAAAGTATCTTTGAAAAAGAGATTTAGATTTGCTACGCCTTAAGAATTCCATTGACGAGGAAGAATTTGAAAGTTTTGATACTTCTAAACTAAATGGGAAAAAAAGTCACTTGAAATCATGACGAGTTGACAAATTCATAAAAAGTACTGTTGAGGTAGAAAATAAAAAATCCGAATAAACTTACGTTTAGAAAGCACTTTTTTTAAAGAAATCTAAGTGGATGATCACCGAAAGTTAAGAGAATAAATTAAATAGTTATATGTCGATCAAAGTCATGAGTTCGAATCTCCATTTTCATATATTTTTGTACTAAATTTTTTTAGTACAATATGTATGGGTGAGGATCAAACTCACAACCTCTTGGTTGGAGATTATGCCAATTATCACTGAACTACGTACGTTTTGACATTAATAAATTCTTAACGGTATAAACCTGTAATAATGGTAACAAATAAGACAGTAAAATTAATGGGTCAATAACTTCATTATTAGGCACGCGTTCTTCTTTATTAAAATAAATACACCTTTTTCCCATCTTTTCGAACACAAGCACCGAGGTGCTATCTTAGATACTCTATTCAATTAAAATAAATAAAATAATATATGTATAGATTTTTTTTTTTTAACTACAGTATATGTATGGATTACGTAATTGAATATTGCTAAGAAAGAATACCTATCATACAGTAATACTTGATATTTTTTCTTTTAAAATCGTAAAGATCAATTCAAAATTTCAGGATGATTTTTTTAATTCAATAATTGTAAGAGTAAATATTAGTTAGAAGATTTGAAGGATGAAAGAATTTGTCTTTCCTTTCTTTCTTTTTTTTTTTTTTAATTTTAGTTAAAAGCTAGTCAAATAAATTAATTTTAATAGATTATGTCAATATTAGTTCGTTCGATTAGTTTACATATTAATGAATAACATATACTTAATAAGATTTATACTTTCTTTCTCATATTTATAATTACTTTTCGAGTTGTTATTTTTTCAATATTTAATTCTTCATATACTATATTTGCTTAAGCTCGTTCAAATTGTACAGTAAACTTTTTACGGTAAATTTTTTTAGAACGTTGTTTTTTTGTAGCAAATTTAGAGAGAGTTATTAAATGTTGGGATGGATTTCCAAACTTTCTCTTTGATTTTAAAAAATTCTATAAATACGGTGAATACAATTTAACATAATAAAATAGTTTTTAGTCATTTTTATTTAATCTTAAAAAGATAAATTCAGAAAAGTGTGTTAACCACTTAACCTTCTTTATTACGGCAGCCTGGTAATGAGATTGGATTAAATTGCATTTTAGCTCCCATGTGTTGATTTTATTTTCAACAATTCAGCCTACGATTTTAATTTTTAAAATTTAAATTAGAATTTGAAAATATTGATAATAAGATAAAGAAATACATTAGTGGGAGGAGAGACTATAAGCTTAATTTTTAAAAATATAAAATTAATTTCACATAGGAAGTAATCTTTTATACTTATTCTCTAAGTTCAGTGTTCCTTGATTCAAATTAATTGTGGTTGCATTGTCACATGAATTAAATGGATTTTATCTATTTTGCACTTCAAACAACATTTAGCCCTAGAGTTTAAAAAATATATATACAAAAATTTAGCCCTAACATTTTTCCCCCACCAAAATAATACCTTAAAACCCAACCAAAATTTCAAATTTCTATTTTATATTGAAAAAATGTCACTTCTAAAAATTCGTAAAACACTTTGTCGCAATTGTTTTTTTCCCCCTTAACTCTTTAATGATGATAAAGACGCATAATCTACTTTCACTTAAAAGACAGATAATTAATAGGAAAAATTCTAAGGCACTATCTTTGTTCTATTTTTAATTCTTTCCGATTTTATTATTTTAATCCATGTATTTTCGGAGGGCTTATTTTGTTCTCTATAATTTCAAAAAGCGACCATTTGAGTTTACTCATTTTTATTTATATCTCATTTATTTCAATCATAATTCTAATTTCACCAATTAAATTTTTTGAAATATAACAATAAATTTGTATTTAAGGATTTCAATTGTATATACAATTTATGTTAAAATTTTACAAAATAGACATAAAATTGGTCACGTGTTAAAATTACAGGTACCAAAACAGACGTTATGGAAGTACATAGAGATTCAAAATGAAAAAAGTTGAAAGCATTAGAAATCAAAACCTAAAGTATAGAACCAAAAAATAGTATTTAAACCAAACTTTAAAAAATATAGAGTTGAAATTGAAACTAAAGTAAAAGCATAAGAATTATCTACGTGTTAATTTTCTTTTTACTGTACCAAGTTAGCCTGTACCTTTATGCTCCTCCGTTACCAATATTTTTTATTATTCCCAAACAGAAATGTGACTCGCGTCATAAAATCCAAGTGCATCTTTCTGGAGGAAAATGTGATGTTGTGGTTGGTTTCTTGTTGAATTCCACATTGATTATTGCCATTGTTCCCATGTCCATTGTCATCAAGTGGAACACAAGCAAGTTGGTCTGTCTCTTTGTTTCTTTGGGTTTCTTACTTTATCAAATTTGACCCATCTCAATGTTGGGAAACTATATTTTAAAATGTTTCAAATCAAACCAATTTAACAAGCTGAAATATTATCACATTTAATAAAAATAATGCATGGTATAAAAAATATAGTGAAGGGAATAGTCAGTACTTGAAATCAAGGCATGTGTACTGTAGCATATTTGTTTCTCATTGCTGCTTAGGCTAAAAACAACCATTCATTTTTGGATATGTCTATAGTTGCTAGACAAAATCGTCTTGTGTGTGATCACTGTTCATGCTCTAATTACAATGAACTTGAGAGTTCTAAGGAAAAAAAAAAACTTGAACAAAAGAAAACAGACAAAAGACGTTTGTGTTTGGTCGTGATAACTAATTCATGATATATAAGACAACCATATGTACACTTAATTAATTCAACGTATGTAAGTTTTTTTAGTACAACAATCTCAAGAGAATAATTCTAGTGACTAGAATACATAAATTATCACATCACTAATATCAAACTGTGTCTAAGTTTATCATGAATATAATAATTGTGCTCCACCAGTATGTACGCATATATTAGAGAACTTTGTGTTCAACAACCTATAGGAATATCTATACATGAAAATTAACCTATGTTTATCCTATATAATCTTGTTTAGTTTGATCTATATTTTATACAATGTTCATAAGTTTACAACATGCTTGTCTTATATAAATAAGACAGATAGAAAAATATGAAGTCGTGACTTTGCTATGATTTTTTTTAGTACAACGAGTGGGGGTGGATTCAAAATCGTGACCCTTTTGATTAGAGACATATGCTAATTATCGTTTTGTTAAACTCATGTTGGCTACTTTACTATGTTAATTAAGTTACAATAAGTGGAGGCGGAGAGATTTGAACTCATGACCAATTACCACAACTTCACCATGATTAATTAAGTTACATCTCATCAAGTGATTGGTCAGTGAATAAAAAAATATAACTTTCTTTAACTTAAAATAAGAGATTTAGTAAAGTCCAAAAAGAAATAAGAACATAAAGCATCAATTGTTCCCTGGCCTAATTAACTAATTATGGAACATCATTGAATGTTAACTGAGATCAATGACTAATATTGAAGAGGAATATTATTTGGCATAATCATAATTAGCTCCCACAAAGAAAATCTTTCATTTAAGTCAATACATCGAATTGCATCTTAATTATTTTTAAAACCACAAAAATTCAATTAAAACTTAAAAAGAAGTACAATAAAGTAAGAAATATGTTAAACGTAAAAATACAAAAAAAAAAAAAAAGTGTGGGTGATATTTATTTTGAATAGTTTATTGAAAGGAGCTAAAATAAAGAGAATAAATTCTAATAGGGTAAAACAAGGGGCAAGATGGCAAAAGGAAATGTGTGTGGGCCCCGACAGACACAGCCCACTGGTCAAAATTCCCTGATGGATCCCTCTTAGTCAAACCGTTTGTCATCATATTCAATTCATCTCTATTTTAGCTTCATTTCTAGTTATTTTCCCTATCATTTCTTTGTATTTTCTCTTTCATTCAATTACAATAACTAGTTCAATTAGCTGGGATATTAAAAGGTAAAAATTAAATATTTAAGTATTTATAGATTAATAGTATATTTTTCTGACTATCATTAAAATTCTGTCCTATATTTTTAAACAATTATATAATTATCAAATTTTTATGGGTGGTAACTATGAAGATAAGTAATTGTCAAAAAAAAAATCTTTTTAATTTATAATATTTTAGATTCGTTGACGATATATGTCAATTACCACTAAATTGTACTCGTTTTTTTTTGCAATATTTTTTCAAATTAGTCTCTATTTAATTCTCAAATTTTTTAATATTACAATTTAAATTCTAAAGTTCACAAATAGATTTAAATGCTTTATGGTTAGTTTTTTGTTATGTCTAGTAAGGAACGGATTAGATTTAAAAAAATTGATCGGGATTGTAACTGTATTTAATTTATTTAGTTAACTGCTGTACCGTGTTGCCGTATTTTATCAAATCGTGTTAAAAATAACAACATAGAACAAAGAAAGTAACCAATCAAAAAATATAGGAGAAGAAGTTGTAATTTAAGTTATTTAACCCTTTTTTTTTAAAGCTTTCAGTTCTTTCTGTTTTAAATAAGAAATTTATTTTCCGGGTGGAACCGCCTATTTTATGGTACCCAGTAGTCAATGCCTCGAAGGATGTCTTCCCCTTTTTACCTGTACACAGTCGAATCTCTTCATTTATTTAGACAACTCTCTTTGCTAAACTAGCCTCTATTTTTCAAAATCTCTCTTTTACTCCCCATTCTTTCTCTTTCCAAAATTGTCCTTGAAGTAAAGTTCTGAAGGATTATGGTAATGGAGAGAGGAGAGGAACTTGAGAAAAGTGAATAAGGGCATTTTGGTAAAAAGGTTGGTCTTTTTGTCTTTAAATTATTCGAGTTGAACATTTATCAAAAACAAGAAAAAGGAAGAAGGAGAAGAACATTCATGTGAGGAGGCCAAAAAGGAGACCCTCCATTCCGGCTTTTGGAGCCTCCACAATCATTTCGAAGACTCTGATTTTTCTTTTTTGTTTTTGTTTTTGTTTTTATTTTTCGCCATGAAGATCTCCAACTTCTTCCTCACATGGGTCGCTCTGAATCTTCATGTTCTTCGCTTTTTTGCTTCTGCATCTTCTGCGGCAGTTGCAGAAGACGACATAAAGTGCCTCCGCGGCGTTAAGAATTCGCTTGATGATCCTCTGGGAAAGCTCAGCTCATGGGATTTCAAGAACACCTCCGTCGGCAACCTCTGCAAGAAATTCGTCGGCCTCTCCTGCTGGAACGATCAGGAGAATCGCATTCTCAGCCTTGAGCTTCGAGATATGCAGCTCGCCGGTACGATTTCCGGGGACTTGCAGTACTGTGTTAGCCTGCAGAAACTGGATCTGTCCGGCAATAGCTTCTCCGGCCCGATCCCGCCGCATATTTGTAAGTGGCTTCCCTATTTGGTTACCTTGGATTTGTCCAACAACCACTTTTCCGGCCCTATTCCGTCTGATCTTGCCGGATGTTCTTATCTGAATTCGTTGATTTTGTCTAACAATGAGCTTTCCGGGACAATACCAGTTGAGCTTTCGAATTTGGGTAGGCTTAGCAAATTTTCTGTTGCAAATAATCAACTCACGGGTACGATTCCCTCATTTTTTGATAAGTTTGGGAAGGAAGATTTTGATGGGAACAGTGACCTATGTGGGGGGCCTGTTGGATCCAAGTGTGGTGGATTGAGCAAGAAGAATCTTGCGATTATTTTAGCTGCGGGTGTGTTTGGGGCTGCGGCTTCTCTGTTGTTAGGTTTTGGATTGTGGTGGTGGTATCACTCAAGAATGAGAATGAAGAAGACATTTGGGGACGGGCTTTGTGGGGATTGGACTGATAGATTGAGAGCCTATAAGCTTGTTCAAGTTTCCTTGTTTCAAAAGCCTCTTGTAAAAGTTAAATTGGCTGATTTGATGGCTGCTACTAACAATTTCAATCCTGAAAATATAATTGTTTCTTCTAGAACTGGGACTACTTATAGAGCTGTTCTACCAGATGGTTCTGTGCTCGCCATAAAGCGGCTCAATACCTGCAAGCTCGGCGAGAAGCTGTTTCAAAAGGAGATGAACCGGTTAGGATCGATAAGGCACCCGAATTTGACCCCCCTTTTGGGGTTCTGTGTTGTAGAAGAGGAAAAGCTCTTGGTTTATAAGTATATGTCTAATGGGACTTTGTTCTCTCTGTTACATGGAAATGTCGAGATATTGGACTGGCCAACTCGGTTTAGGATCGGTTTGGGAGCGGCAAGGGGTCTTGCTTGGCTTCACCATGGATACGACCCTCCATTCATGCATCAAAACATATGTTCTAGTGTAATTCTTGTGGATGAAGACTATGATGCTAGGATCATGGATTTTGGATTGGCAAGGTTGATGGCCACGGATTCTCACGACAGTAGTTTTGTCAATGGAGATTTAGGGGAACTCGGTTACATTGCACCCGAATATCCGAGCACCATGGTTGCTTCTCTAAAAGGAGATGTTTATGGATTTGGGGTTGTGCTTTTGGAGCTGATCACTGGGCAAAAACCTCTAGAAGTCACCAAAGCAGAGGAAGGTTATAAAGGCAACTTGGTGGATTGGGTTAATCAGCTAAGTAGTTCGGGTCAAATTAAGGATGTTATCGATAAAAATCTTTGTGGAAAAGAGAACGACGAGGAAATCTTACAGTTTCTGAAAATTACAATGAACTGCGTCGTTCCTCGGCCCCGGGACAGGTGGTCTATGTATCAGGTTTATCAGTCAATGAAGACAATGGCTAAAGACTACAGTTTCTCTGAACCAGATGATGAGTTCCCACTTTTGTTCGGCAAGGGAGATAACGAACCCATGTAGCTCCATAGAAGTATATGGTGGATGCAAAAACATGAAATAGAGGACTTGGGATTTCTACATCTTCTGGTGAGTTTTCAATGGCCCCTTAATGTAAATCATGTTGACTCCCGTAAAAAAAAATTTGTTTCCACATTTGTTTCGTATGGCTGTATGATTCAAATAAACCCGGATTAGACTGTAGGTTCTTGGATTCAAAAGTAACTTATCTATTATCCTTTCTTTCAATGTCGCACTGCCTCTATAGAGATACCATGTTTCCGAACAAAAGAGCGAAACGATAGCACATGAAATTGGCTTTCCTCTCATGCGAATACCGACATTTCTCCTACTGCTCGATGCCTTGTATGTGTGATTTATAAGCTAAGCTTCATTATTGTTTATTGCTATGTGATAAATGACCATCAATGACTCTGAATAGCTGAGAATATTTCTGACTTCCCCTCCCATGAGATGTCTTAGAGAAGTCGATTACCGAGATATATCGTTGCCTCGCCAATTATAATGATATCATTATTTCATTTCTATGTGGTACCCTCATTATTTTGTATGATATGTATTTGATCCTTGCATTGAAATATGTAGGTTAAAACTTGTTAGGATGTATATCATCTATGTTAAGGAGCCACTGAAAGATCAAATTTTGGTGTCTTCTTTCTTCTATGATCTGCACAAATGCTGCTCTGGTTTTTCTCACCAGGTGCTAATGGCTACTTGTTTCGATATCGACTACTCTCGAACCGTGCTTATCTTCGGTTGCTTCTGTATAAATATATAAATAAATAAATAAATAAATATATATATCACTATATGTATTTAGAAGTGAAAAATGTCTGCTTCTCATCCTGTCAATTGTCTTGATGAGTTAGGCATTGACTTTGAAACTTTCAAATTCTGAATTTGTTGTCTGTATGATTATTATTATTAATCTTTTGCAGGCTAAATGGTTCTTTTCAACCGTTGTGCACTCACAAATTCTCTCTCTCTCTCTCTCTCAAGCTGGTCAAAGTCAACACCACACAGCTAATTTTCATACTTATGAATCCTGGAAATTCCTGGTTTGAAAATTTTTCCAAAATACGTGTCCTGAATTGTTGCTATGTTAAAAGTATATTTGATAATGGTTTTGTTTTCAGTTTTATGTTTTTAAAAATTGGATTTATTTACTAATAACCTTTTTGTTTGGTAATCTACTTCTAATGATGTCTTTAAAATCTTAGTTAAGGAGTACCATTTTAATCATAGTTTTGTTTTTTAGTCTTGATTTTAAAATTCAAGTTCCTTTGTTATCATAATCCCACTTTTAAAAGTGTTTTTAAGTTTTTAAATAAAATTTATGATAGCTTTCAAAAGAGAAGATTCCTTTTTTAACAGAAAACTATGAACAAAAGAAAGTTTTATCTTAAAATTTTGAATTTAATTAAGATTTATCGTTAATAATAGTAGATAGAACAAATGTGAGAATAAACATCAATTAATTCTTATTATAATTGTAAAACGTTAATATTTAAGTAGATTGTTAATTATTAATTACACAAAATAAATTGTCTTGAACCTTAACTACAATATTGACTTGCAGTCGTGCACCATTTTTCAAAAAATTAAAACTACAATTCTCATTAGAAAAATGTTTTGTCTCATTATGTAATTAGAAATAGGATTCATTTATTTTTTTTTAAAAAAAAWATATATATATATATATATATAATAAACGGGTCAATGTTGAAAAATGAATTTGTTAGAGGAAAAAAAAAACACGAGAAAAATGGAAGAGAGAGAGATGGGAATATTCAATTCAAATAAAACTGCAGGAGATGAGAATCTGTGCCCCATCCCCATGCAAGTTGAAAATATAATATTACATTTTTTTTCACTTTTTTTATTTATTATATTTATTTTTTTCTGTTTGGGTATTAGTTTACTTTGTCTGGACCAAGTCTTTCTTTCTATCTTTCTATCACAAAACTAATCAAATATAAAAATAAATAAGGAAAAAACAAAAAACGAAAAAGAAAAGCAAATTAAAAGAGAGAAAAAGTAAAAGTTGTAGGCCAGATACCTTAAACCCCATTTCTTTTAATTTCTATTTATGTTTGTTTGTTCATTGGAGAGAGATGGGTTTCTTCGCAATTCAATAATTCAAGAAAAAGAAAAGGTGATGACAAAAATCTCTATTTGGGTCGGGTTCTTTTGGGATCTTTTCCTGAACTTCCCTTCTAAACGGGGTTAGAAATTTACTTTTGATTTCACAAAAAAGCCTCCTATCAAGGAGACTATCAATTATATGCCAGTGATCTTTTCTTTGTTCGAGACTTTGATCGCATGGAAAAGAAAAAGAAATTAGAAATTTTACTATAAAAAGTCGAAGATAATGGGAAAGATGGTAATTTCTTTTGTAAAATATTGAACAAATTACACTATTAAGTTTCTTAGGTTTGGACTTGATTTTTTTTTTTTTTCCCTTTTTGCCACTGTTAGTTGGGTAATTAAATTCCACTATCAATTTATATTACTTGTATTTATAATTTTTTTAACTGGAACTAAATTAGTTAAATTTACTTGGACTTAATTCATATAATTGGGCTAAATTTATTCTAAATGAATATACTAATTACCATAATAAAGTATTAATATACAAATTTTAAAAACACAAATATAGATATTAGAATATCTTTATAAACTTCAACAAACAAATTTTTTATATTGCATCTTTGAATCCTAAGCATCTAAATATTAGAGATTTAAAAATATTGAATCTCTTCTATTCAATTTTCCTTTCTCCTTTATTTCATGCCATGGGGATGGGGGTGGGACCCACAACCCTTCTCTTTCTCCTCTCTTTTTTTTCCTCTTATCCTTTAAAAGATGTCCATCTTTTCCTTCCATAATTACTTTGACCAATTCAACCAAAAAGAAAAATAAGGAAATAAAATGAAACAAAATATTCATGGTCTAAACTAAATTGTATCTATATTTTTATAACAATTCTTCATCCTCAATTAGTTTTTTTTTCCTTTTGTTTTAAAAGATAAAAGCTAGAGGATTCTTATTTTGGTCCAGTTTAATATAGTTCTAACTTGTTACGTTAACTAAAAAATTAAAAGTCTAAATTTCATCCTTACCTTTGGTTCAACTTATTAACTTTTAAAATTATTTTATAGAATGATTTTTTAAAAACAAAGTTATTATACCTGTGACAGTTAATTTTTTCATATAAAACAAAGGGAAAGATTAAATAAAATATTTAGTTTATATCGGAGAGATAGTTTGGGTGGCTTTGGGCTTAAAGGAATATCTTTGATGCCTTGTCCCTTGTGTATACACGGACATGGAAACGGTGTGCATATCTAAGTATAGGTGAAAAGAGGCCAAAGGGCCCTTCATGAACTTTCAATTTTTTTATTTGATGTGATTCATGTTTTTGTAGTCGTTAATTAAATAATGATAAAACGTCATATATAGTTCAAAGATAAATAGTAGAAGAAAGTCGGCAGCTTAACAGACAATGGCAAGTGCAACACGCCTTTTAAATATCAAATCTTTTTTTTTATAGAGAGCGTCACTTTATTTTGTCGAAAAATCTACTTTTTTCTATTGATCTTCAAACGAAAGGGTATGAAGATATGGAGCGGTAAAAATAGAATACTCTCTTACGAAAAATAGAAAATTTTTAATAATTATATTTCACAGAAAATAAACCTATGAGAATGAAGATGAAGACGGAGTTGTCTTGTTGAACTAACAGTGCGAGAATCCAATCGGAGGGGGGAGTGGCCATAACCTTTCTTGGGGGCTGCTCACAGCTTTTTTTTCTTTTCTTTTTTTCCCAACCTTTTTTTACTTTTTTACTTTCCTTTTTTTGAAATTTTGAAACCCTTTTTTTGCATGCATCGCATAGCATGATCATTATTCACGAATCTCTCTGAATTTTACTCTCTCCCAAAGCTTTTGAGTACAATTATCAAAAAGTACAATCTTTCCCCATGATTCTCCACGTGTTATCTATGTGATTAATTATATTCAAATTTTCAAAATTTCATTAAATTTTTCTAAAGATGATTTAATTTTTCATGATTTACCACTCTTATTTTTTTTAAAGACGATCTATTTGTTTTTCTAGCAGTTAAGTTTTTGAATTTTTATATATGTACGAAAAAGGAAAAAAAAAACATATAGGAAATTATCAAATGTTCCTATTAAAAATTCTATTGTTACGTGTATGAATACAGTATAAAACTTAGTTCGACGACTAAGACATCTTGTTTCTTTTGAGCTCACTTTAACATATCTTTTGAACAATTTAAAACTTTTTAATTATTTTTGTCATCGAACACATTGCTAAGATTTGCTCAGACATCCGAGATAAATAATTATCCATTAAAATTGCAGAAGGGTTGTGGCAATTTTACTATTTAAAAATACCATGTACCAGAATCAATCATTCCTCACCTTTCAATACTGTCTCGCCTAAAAAAATGGGGGAAAGCAGCAAAGATTTGAGTGAAAATTCAAGCAAATGCATATACATGTGAACGACAAGAAACTATATATAATCTTCTACTTCCGAGAAAACAAACACTTTGCATCTTAGATCAAATAAATGATGACTAGTAACAGCTGAGAATTCTCTGGGAAAGTTATCCAAAATCTCTTTTTACCCCCAAAAACCCACTAAGAACAGTTGCCATGTCAGTGCTTTAGGGGACAAAAGTCTCAATGCAGGATCTATCCTTGATGGAGTGCATAAAAAAAACATTTACAGGTAAAAAAAAAAACTGTTCATTTCTGAGCTTTTTCTGCAGCTGATTTATCTCCTTGATTTGCTTAGGCTCGAATTGGTGGTTGTTTGGAATTCTCCTCTCTCCTGAATTCACGTGCAAAAATCCAATAGTCACTGTCATATATATAGAGAGAGAGAGAAGGGGAGACAGAGGAGAGAGAGAGATTATCATGTCTGCAATGGTTTGTTGCAAATGATATTGTGTAACCTCTCTATAATGTCAAGGTTATGAACTAAAGTGGTCAAGTTCTTGCCCCAATGCCTTTAATGGCTCATAAAAATAAGAGAAAGAGTGATAAAAAAAAAAGAACTTTTGATTTTTTATTTGGAAAAAAAGTGAGACCATCATCAACTTCAACACATCTCAATTGAAAGTCTGTTGCATCTCTTTTACTGACTCAAATTGTTGCAACCAAATAAAGAAAGAAAAAGAAAACCAAGCAAACTGGGTAGAGGCAGAGCAGTCATGATTTCAAAATGATCAAATGGTTAGGTTTGAAGCTGAATTCTGTTCCATACTTGAAAATTTGTACACTAGGAAAATACTAATGAGAATTGGAACCTGGATGAGATAAAAACAACAGAGTAACAGTACATAAATTTACTAATAGAAATAGAACTCTCAATCCATTTATCTTTCTTCTAATTGAAGTCGGGTGGTTACCTTCAGACGTGCTAATTTTCCCTTTTTTTAGGGACCAAATTCTATCTTCAAAGTTTTGTTCTCAAGAAGACAAAAATTTATAGAAACGTAAAGTAGAGAGAAATTCAACAAATTGTAAAACCCATCAAATTAAGGAGATAAAGAAATAAAAGAAACCAAAAGAAGACCATATGGGTTCAAGAAAATACTTGCATAGAGCACAGGGAAAGGAATATAAGCAAAACATATGTGCAATTTTTTTAAATAAAATCAAGTAGAGAACTGTATACCTGTTATGGATTGGATCAGGTCCATTAGGTACTCTTCTCTTGCTGACAGAATAGAAATCAGAATGCCAATGAAAGACATGCTTCTCTCTTCCAATCAGCTTCCACTGCATGTCTGGCGCTCTTCTGGATGCTGGGCTAGCATTATCAATCACTCCAATGAGAGAAAACCAGATGATACCAAGAAAGAGAAAAGCTCCAAACAGAGACCTAAAAAATCTACTTCTACGCTCCATTACACCCACACCCTTTTCCTATCTCTCAGCGACCAGGACCAACAATGGTCATCATCCATTCAGAACAGAGACACAGAAATGACTAAAATCAGACATTTCAGAGTGTGGAAGTGAAGGGGTAAATATGGACTATGAAAGAAGGAAGAAGAGAAAAGGAAAGCTAATTGGGTTGGGTTGGGTTGGGTTGGCTATGGCTCATCAAGGTCTTGGCGGGTTGTAAGGCTGTTTTGTTTGTATTTAAAGACTGCATCAGTAAAACTGTACTTTGTGTCCGCGTGGGTGGAGAGGGAAGGAATCTGATTTAAAACGCAGAAAAGTAGTTATTTATGTCACTTTATTGTGGAATAATGTGTCCAGCAGCTCCTCTTTCTTTGCCTTAGTTTCTGCGTTTTCCTACAGCTACAAAAGGGAATTGGGGGACCTCACTACCTCATAAACACTGAGCACTTAACACCAAGTTTGTAAAACACGAGGCACAGCCAAATGTCCACATATTAAACTAAAACTATAGTTTTAAGCCCAAGTACGCCAAATGTAATATAATCATCAGAGAAATGATTGCTAACCTGAAGAAAATCAGAGGCACTCCATTTTGAACGTCTGGTATTTCATCAGCGCCCACAAAACGATGAAGATATTAAATTATTTCAAGGAAATCATTGCTTTTCTACCTCGTTTTGGAAAAACAGATGAGCAATTGCTGTCAGAGAACAATGGAAAGTGAAATTTACAGTTTGGTTAGATGCTGTGCTGTGTCCCAATCCCAGCAGTACACAATGAACCAAGCATGATGGATACAGTTTCTTGCTGAAATCAATCAATACTGAAGGCAAAATGGAAGCCATTCAACTAGAAGCTAATATCTGATACATTAGAATATTTTCTTTGTAATTATGTGTGGCAGACAGCTACACATGTTTGATTACGAGAAGCCCACATCTCCAACGTGATTCTTCTAAATTGACTCAGAATCATGCGAGAATATGAGGTCCTTGACGTGTTTAGGACTCTTCACCACGTTATGGATGTGAAGGATAAGGCTTCCTGATCCACTGACTCCATCAAAGAATCCTGGAAAATTTTTACTTAGCGGTCCTACCAGCATATGGCAAACTGAAAAATAAAAAATAAAAAATAAAAAAAAAACGACAATATGATAAAATAAAAGGCAGTGAAACTGTAACTAGATCCCAGAAAATGAAGAATAAAACTTACGAGTGATGGAAACTCAGACCCTACACGTGAATGAAGTTCTGCCATGTCCCAAATATCTTATTTGTTATTCTAGGCATCGAGTATATAATACATGTATACAAGGGAACACATGTTTAGAACCCATCAATTATGGAAGTACGGAACTTTCGTGTTTAGAATTCTGTCCTAAGGACTTCTCGACCCAAACAGCATTCCTTGAGTTCCTCTGAATTTGGTCCACATAATCATTTCCAATGCTTTTCCTACGTCATATGTGAGATATCAGCTTGGTTTCTCCACCACCCCCCGAATTCTTCTCTTTATAAGAATTGTACTTTTTAATGTCCGTCTCACTCAGCTTGACTTCTCTGTTAAACTGCAACCTGCAAAAGCCAATGGGATATGTTTTGTGCCTCCTGATCTACAGTGGAGACTCAGGCTTCACCACACGATTAGATTAGAGATCCCACCGCCCCGCTACCACCACCACCACACACACACACCAAAAATTAATAATAATACTAAATGAAGATGTCTTTTAGAATCAGAAAATATGAGTCAGCATAGTTATCCAGTATTCTAGTTTTCTTGCTAAGAAAAGGCCAAAAAGTTGAGAGCTTTTGACTAAAGCGGCACAAGAATGACTAGCAAACATGGAGGCCAAAAACATAGTCCATAAATTGCATGGTTCTATATATTACACAGGCATACTGGCACTTCAGTGCTGGAATCAAACTAAAAGGTCGATAAAAGATATTTGAGTTCCAATACAAACGTATAATATCGCTCACTGAGGGAAAATCTACTTGGTAACTACTCAAGTAAATACTAACTCCTAATTCACACCAAAAAAGAGAAGCGAGAAATAATTAGCTGGTACATTCTCTGGCTTGTTCCTTGGATAAGTTAAGTCTTACCATTATGAAGCTTGGTTATAGATTCTAGAACTAGACAATGCTCAGGAGGCTGTAGATTCCATGTACAGCCTCGACCTGCAATAGTTGGGAACCCTGTCGTTGCAAGATGCCTATAGAATCAAGAAAAATAATATCAACATCTGGACACTTCAATTTCTAGGTACCAACCGAATGAAATGCTGACAGTACAGTCAGTACTTAAGCATGCAGCTCTCATAAGTTGCCTTCCGACCACTTAAGTTTACGCTTGTAACAATTGTTGCTGAACAAGGGCACCATTTCACTCAACGGTTATAGAGATTTTATTAGGTAATTTTTCTTTTTTCCTTTTCTTCTTCTCAGCCCACTTGGGTCCATAAATTGCCAAGTGTGTCCGACCAAAACGTCGGTCAGTAATCTGCAATTAGATACAAATATATTTGTTACTTAATAGGGAAAGATATTTAGTAGAAGAACAAAAATAATCCCGACCATGCAGATTTCATGTCTAAACTTCAAGAAAATCAAGGAAAGCAACTGCATAAATTCGTAAGATATCAGACCCTTGATCTCTTCTGGTATATATATTTTCAGGTGCCTGAGAATTCATCTGGGTGTTGGTTACATTACAGTTAACTTTACCCAATTACTAGAAATATAATCACCTAGGATCCATGACCATAACTTCTCGCCAAATTCCATCAGCCTAGAGATACTGTATATTTCAGCCAACGACTAATGCAATGCAACTCATTCCTATCAATGATTTTATTCACTCATAACATTAAGCATGTAAAATACCTGCATGTTTAAATTACCTTAATAAGGCATCCACATGAATCTAGCATTTCAGTCCTTAATGGATATTCAACCACCTAGATCGCAAAAGATAAATGTGAGAGAAAGGATCGTAGACAATATGTAAAGAAAATATCTTAAGCAGAAATGAGAAAATTACAACTGAGTAACTTACAATGAAGGTATCTTCTCCTACTAAGGCTGATGTCGATAGCTGTCCCATCAGTACTCCATAATCAACTTGTGTGTACGGTGGGGTAACACTAATGTAATCAAATGGTCCATCATTACCTGGACAAAACAATATTCTTGACATTATAATTTGGTGGTTCTTAAAATCATAAATTATACCATCAGTACCCTTAATTTAAGTAATGCCAGTGTTTACTCAACAGATAAATTTACGTTAAAACTTTGGGAGTTGCGAATTTTGAGAGTAGTATGTCAATAGTATCTTGGAAATAGTGCATTCTTCATTTGAGTCACGAGTATTACATCGGACCTTTTTT